TATTCAATAATTATATTTGCTATTTATAAAATATGAAAGTTGGGATTTTATTTTTATTTAAAAAATGAACAATCCAAACTTTTTTGCGCAAATAAAATAGTTTGAAAAATGTCTAATACGCATCCATCTCCCAACCTACACAGCTCGCTCAATTCTCATTTGCTAACTAAGAGGATGAATGTGGATTGATTTTTCTCAGTCCACCTAAGTTTTAATGGATGTCAGATGAGAGGCCACCCGTCCCAACCCGATATGCGAGCACCCCTAGTGTTAATTGTAACACCTTGAATAATACCTCTTATACGATGATCTATTTTGAAATGCCTGAAGTTAAATTAGTTATTATATAATATCAAATAGTTAAATTAATACTTAAAAAATTATATTTACTTTTATAATTGTATGTGTTAAAATGTAATTTAACTTAATTAAGAGTCATTGTGCTTTACCAAATAATGTGATTATAACATGTTTTGGGCCATAGTGGAAATATGGGGGAATTGGTGCACATTGTTTCAAGAAACCTCATGAATTGCATGGTGTGCCATGTGGTTTCACCACATGGTTACACAGTGTTAAATAGTGTAGCATAGTGTTGCATAATAAGGATTTTCTCACCTATAAATAGGTGAGTTGCATAGTAATGAAATCACAAGAATAACAAACGAAGGGTATTTGAAAGAGTGAGCTAAAATCAAAAGTGAGAGTGAAGGATCAAATTTGAGGTGAGTTTTATTATATTTTGAGCTACCATAAACTGCTTTATGTAAATATGTTTTGCAAATTATATTAGTTTTTAAAGTATTATTTGTTAAATGAATCATATTTGCTTAAAAGGGGAAACGCGTGATATAACTGTTTTATTAAATGTATTTTGCATAATTATTTTGTAAGTACCACCACGGAGGTCCCATGCCTTGGGGGACTTAAATAACCATTAGCCTTCTGCATTGTCACTTTAAATGACCCTCTGTTTATCATGGATTTATTGACCCTTTAATTTATGGTATAGAGCAAAGTGTTGTACGGAGCTAAGTGTTACACTATTGTGGGAGCCACCTCTTGAGTCCATACATCTATTCTATTCTATTATCTAGTATGGCGCAAAATACTATGCAGAGCTAAGTGCTACACTATTGGGGGGAGCCACCTTTAGAATTCGTACAAGCCACATCTTGAGTCCATACATCTGTTCTATTTTGTTTTGTACAATGGTTATGATGTATTATATGTCTGTTATTCAAATGATTTTTGTATTATATACTCTGTATTTTAATATTAAACTGAGTTATGTTTAGCCAAATAATTATCTATGGTGATTTTTATACCCTTTGTGCTCCCAGTATAATATTTCACACTCTACCACGCGCTTATAGTTGTTAATCACTTTTAGGTGACGTGTTAGGATCAGTGTGTGGGGTAGGCACAAGGCACTTTGTAGTCGTAGTTCAGCTTTGACAATGTAAATAAATAGAAACTCCAATGTATATGTTATAATTAAGATTTGGGTACCCTTTTTATTTTATTGTGCTGTGTTTTTAATGTGTTACGTTTGGTATTGACTTATGTTTTGTCCTGTCACGACGCCTAGCCTTTGGATACCGAGTTTGGGTCGTGACATTAATAGTTATAGAAGTAATAATATAAGTCATGATAATGATGGTAGTGGTAGTGGTGATAACAATGGCGATGGTGATAGCTGTGGTAGCAGAATTGTGGTAATGATAAGTCATTGTAGCTTTGTTGGCAGTGGTAAGGTGGTGTTGTGGTAGTTGTGGCAGTGTTAGTAGAGTGGTGATTCTCACGATGGTAGTGTGGTAGTAATATGATTTTAGTGAAGGTGGGGGTAAGAAAGTGGTTTTGGGGTCAAAGTCAATAACAGTGGTGGTAATATGGTAATGGTTATAGTGATGGTAATAACGACAACAATAGTAAGGTGGTGGTGGTAGTGGTAGCATGGACAATAGTAAGATAGTAATGGTGTGGTGGTTGTGGAAATGGTTAGAGTGGTTGTGGCGGTGGTAGTGGTGGTTGTAGTGGTGGTGACAATAAGGTGATTCTCATGGCATTGACGGTAGTAGTAATGGTGGTGATGGTAGAAGGGAATGGTAGTGGTAGCTAATTGATAATGTTTTATGGTGATTCTATGATGGAATGAAATGACTATTCATTAGATTGAAGGAAATAAATGCATTTTCACATTTTGTTGGAATAGCCATTCCATTTAAATAATTATTTCTACTTAAATATATCGTACCAAACAAGAGAAATAAAACACAAAACTATAATAGACATTTCATCATATGAAATGTGCTTTTAGGTCAAAGCATAGAGTGATTTCAATTACATTACTAGTTTATCTCTTTACACCATTCATCTCATTACACCATTAAAAAAAATGTGATTTTCATTACATCTATTATACTACCAAAACTAACACTAAACTAAAAACTCTTCAAAACATTTTTAGTTTTGTCTCTTATACTGATAGCTTTTGGTAATATAAATTTGAATTACTCTTGCGCCATGTTATTAGACAAACTAATATTTTCCAGCCATTTGTTGTCGTTCGATTAGATGATTTTACTTTACTTTAATAGGAAATTAGTTGGAGCCCGTTTGTGAAGTGCATATTTATTGATACATTGCTATACAAATTAGATTACTCCAACGTTGTGAATTGTCTTCATTGTTGTAACATTAAAAGCATCCATTCATTTCATTTTAATCAACATCTCTTTTAGTTGCATCATACTCTTTAACATACCAACTAACAAAGATGCTTCCTCCGTAGATAATCTACCAACAAATGAGTGTCCTTCAAGATGTTTAGTAGCAGGGTGATTGTATTTGCATTGTTGCAATGAATAGAAGCATAATCATTCCATATATATATATATATATATACACATGTAATGAAATTGGAAATGTACGGTAATGAGTAATCGAACAAATTAAAAATGTTCGGCCTTGGGTTACTAAAAATGTATTTTTTATTTAGCAGTGGTTATCGGACATATATTTTTTGTTTGACAATGTGATCTTGGACTATATTATTTTGTTCAATTTTGACACATTTAACAAAATTTGAAAAATTCTCTAAAAAACGAAACGAAAACCTACCAAACAAATAAATAAAAATTCACAATTTCACTTTTTTGATGGTTCTTTATTACCGTTTCTTCATCCATTGTCTTATTCTATGATCAAAACACAATGATTCTCATTTTTTGAAAAGAGATATGTAGCAGGGGAGAAAAACTAAGAAATGAAGAAGAACAACAAGGATTGAAGGAACAACTTTTAAAAAATGTTTGGCCTTGGGTATTGAAAATGTATCTTTTATTCGGCAGTGGTTATCGGACATATATTTTTTGTTCGGCAATGTAATCACGGACTGTTTGATTTTGTTTGATTTTGACACATCGAACAAAAGTCAAAAACTTCTCTAAAAAAATGAAACGAAAACCTACCAAATAAATAAAAAAACTCACAATTTCACTTTTTTGATAGTTTTTCATTATCGTTTCTTCATTCATTGTCTTATTTTATGATCAAAATTATCACTTTTTAAAAAGAGATATGTAGCAGGGAAGAAATTGAGAAATGAAGAAGAACAACAAAGATTAAAGAACAATGGATGTAAGCAAATAATAAAATATATTTAATTTTAGCTTTTTATCCTTAAATATAATTTCACGTAAAATAAGAAAAAAAAAAATTCCCATATAGAAGGTACAAAAAGATAAATTTTAGTAGAGTAAGTTAGAATTACTTCAAAGCATAGCCCCATTTAGGGGGTGTATTTGTCAAACTTTGACGCTAACAGATATTGAGGACACGAGTGCAAAACAAAAAACAAGGGATTCTTATGTTCCAAATTAGGGTTGGCTTGGAGTGTCCTAAAAAAGTGTATTTTTTATTTTTTTATGAAAAGATATACAGAAAAATAGAGAGGTGATGTGATGAAAAAAAGATAAAAAGATAAAAAGATAAAAAGATGAATTATATAGGTTATGCTAAACCAACCCTTAATTTAGTGTGTCTGGTTTTAATTTTTTGAAAATTAATTTTTTTTATTTTTAGTGAATATTTGTAAAATTTTAAGTATTTATTTGTTACTTTTTTTAGATCTACCTTATTTAGGTGTATCTAAAAAATAAAATATTTATAAAAAATCAATACATACATAAAAATACGAAAAATATATTAAATTATCGTATTTTTTAGGTCAAGTTTGGCATCTACTAAATAATACAAAAAGTCAAAAAGTCATTATCCTATTTAAGTCACATCATCTTATATAAATTGCATCACCTCTCTATCACATCACATCAAACACAACCCATATAAGTCAATAAGTCAAAAAGTGCATTTTTTTAGAACATCTAAAACCAACCCTAATATTTTTGAAATTTAGTAAATTTTTTAATTTTTTTTTACAAATATTATAATTTTTAAATATATTTATATTAATGCCTCATTTGAAAATATTTTATTTCAACAATTTTTTAATTTTTTACAAAAAGATGTATAAAAAAAAGTAGAGAGAGTGATATAATAATTTGTAGTAACTTTTTAACTAAAACGTACAAATAAACATGACCCAAGGTCTCGTTTGGCAAGTGATTTTTTTGCTAAAAAGTCAAAAAGCCAAAAAATCATTAAAAAAATTAAAAAGTCAACAATTTATACAAAAAAGTCAAAAATTTTATTTTTTCTTTATTTTTTACACATTTTTTCATAAAAAATCAAAAAATTATCTCAAATATATTATTTTTTTTATATCATATTTTAATTAAAAAGTTAAAAAATTATTAAAAAATTTGTTGTTAAACGAAACATAAGTGTAAATAAAAATTTTTTAAAAAATTATTTAAAATATTAAAAAAATTTAACAAAAATTTTAAAAACATACAAAAAAAACAAAATTTATTTTTTATTTTTTAAAAGTAAATTATGAACCAAGTGTCTTCCGAGAACAAGGGACGCGAGGCCACGACCAGAGAGAGAGAGAGAGAGAGAGAGAGACGCTCGAAGAAAGAGAGAAGAGAGAGAAAGAGAGAGTGAGTCTCTCTCTCTCCTCGTCGGCTAGCGTGTCAAAAAAAACCCCACTCTCTTCTTCTTCTTTCTCCTCTACAGGCACGCCTTCCTGCAAACCCATGAATCAAGATTGCGGTGGTAACCCCTCGCTCTCTCTCTTGCTCTCTGCTCCGTACTAGTGTATCTGCTTCGGGCTATGAAATGCTATTTGTGTTTGATTTGTACTTGTTAGGATCGTCAATGCATCACAGTCTAGGGTTTTCTCGTTGTGTTCTGCTTCTAGGGTTTCTTTATTGCTACATTTTTATACGCTGATCTGAATCGTGAACTCTCTCTTTGTTTGTGTGTGTTTGTGGGTTAGGTTGTTGGTGAAGGTGTGTGGACTGGTTGAGTCCCGAGAATGCCTTTGTATAAGAGAAAACCTTTTGCTCTGGTCGAAAGGCCCAAGGATTTGGAGCCCCACGAGCTCGTTTTTCAAGTTCGGTTCACCAAAGAGATTTTTAGGGATTATGGGTATCCTTCTATTTCAGTTTCCTGAAAATTTGAATCTAATTGCATGTTTGCTTGAGTTTTGATCTCTCTCTCGCGAGAATTTGGTGGACTATTTCTTCAAATTGTTTTATGATTTTTTTTTTTTATAATTTCTGAAAGTAACCCATTTTTTAGGAACCATTTTTTTTTTTTTGAATTTTAAAAAAATGCTTTTTACAATGGTGTTTTTTTTTTTTTTATGTTTTTGAAATCATGTCAATGAAACTGAAAATGAAAATAAACAGAGCCAGACGGGACTTAATGTTTGCAGGATTTTGTTGTTGAATTATGAACTGTTAGTATTAGTAATCTCATCACATCACTTTGTATTGCAATTCTTAACTTGAGATGTTCTAGTGAATACTTGAATCGGATAAATCTATATCGCCAGAGAGTTTGGACATGTAAAGTTACTGCAAAGACTAACTTGACCTATGAAGAGGCATTGGTGTCGGAGAAACGGGCGACGGAAAAGGTTCAACAGTTCCCCAAAGAATTGGTGGCGCCTGTGCTGCGTGATGTCCAATTCAGTAAGAACTCCATTTCTGAACTTTGTGTCGTGTGTAAAATGTGCTTCAGTTTCATTTTGTATATATTATTATGGTATGCTATAGTTATGAAAAACAGGGAAAAAGGGAGTTTCCAATATTTCTATTTGCTATTTGCTATCTATTTTGATTTTGTTGTGCACATATGACATGAACTGAACGCGGGGCTGAGTTGCGGATATGTTTAAATGTTAATGGATTGGTTGTATTAAAGAGAGACTGTCATAAGCATATGGTAGCCTTCAGCTATATCCTTGAATGCAAAATAGAGATTCAGTCTTGCTAGTTTGATGAAAGGCGGTGACTTTTTCAAATATGCTGTCTTAAGAGGGTACCAAGGTGTCCATAAAAGGAGAATTTGTTGTTTACATATTTTCCCTTCAGACATTGATGTGTGCCACTTCTCTTTTTGTATTTGAGATTTCTGGTGGGGATTTCTTTGCAGCTTTTGTTTTGCTCTCTCTTTGTTTCTAGTTCTGAATTAGATCATCTGATTTTATTATGGCAAAAGATGATCAATTAGGAAATTGTTACATTATAGCATCTTCATGTCAGAGACAGAAAGGGGGGTTGATTAAAGTCATCTTATGAGAAACACAATACTAGGGGAGCAGGTACTAAAATTGGCACGAACGACGTGCTTATGAAAAATAATGTCGAAGCCATTTAGATTTTTGGGTGTAGAAGTATGCAACCTTTGTCTCACAGGTTAATTTGGAGTGCATGTGTATTGGTTTTAAGATTAAAGTGTTTGTATGGACCATGACCCACAAGAAACTTATTTGCTCTATTAATACTTTAATCTTTAGTTATTGTTTGCTTTCTTCAATATTGAGTTGCTGTTGCCTTGTAGTTGCAAGTACATCCAATTCAATCAATACAATCTTTTTTTTTGATGATTTTTTGTTTTGTCAGGCATGCTCACGTTAAAAGATCTTGTAAACAAAATTGCCACAAAGTTGCAGGAGAATGTGTCAGAGGGTACTGAGTTATATGGAAAGAGGAATAGTCGTGTATATCCTTGCAAAATAATAAAAGTTATAGTGGAAGAGGCTGACAAAACCCAATATGAGGTAGTGTGGCTTGACAACGATAAAAAAATAACTGGAAATGCTGTAGTGAATGGAGAAGATTTGGTACGGAAGAAACTGCCTTTTACTAGAGATGTTCTCAAGTCTTTTATTAGAGAATCAACATATCGAAGTGTCCCTTGGGTGCTCCATGATAAATTGGCAAGGAAGCATGGAATCTCAATTGATCCTCCTGAAGAGTTGAGAAGCAAATTTTCCTTCCAGGATGGACGTGTAGTCAACAATAGGAAGAGAAGTAGAAATGAGGAAGATAGACAGAATACGGGGGTAATTATCGTGGTTCACTATTTTTGTTTTGTTCTGGAAGTGTGTGCTCTTATTGGTTTTCTATATTTATCATATTCAGGAAAGAAATAAAGAAGAGCTCAGAAAATGTAAACGAAAGAAATTGGGGAAGGAAAAATCAGAAGGCTTGATCTCTGAGGAAAATACTGAGAAAGGTAAGCCCTTTTATTTTCTTAATCTTTTTCTTCTTATTTACTTATTTTGACGGGGTTGCAATGCTTTTCAATGTGGTGAGTATGTTTCAAGTCTAATAATTTTCATTTGATCTTGTAACTTCTTTCCTTATTTTGGAATTTGCAGAAGACCACCGAACGGACGAGCTCATTAAATATCCAATTGATGATCTATTAGTGCAACCTGCTGTGGATGATCCAGTTTTCACTGAACGCCCTTCTCTGTCAAGGGACTTCAATGTTCCCATGAATTGTGTGGGGGATCTTTTAATGGTTTGGGATTTCTGTTCTTCTTTTAGCAGCCTATTGCACTTGTGGCCGTTCTCCCTTGCAGATTTTGAAAATGCTCTGTGCCACAAAGACAGTAATCTGGTCCTTATTGTAGAAACTCATTCAGCTGTTCTCCGCATGCTTATAAAGGATAACAGGAACTATACTACGACTATAGAGAAGAAAAAAAGGAAGCCAAAGGTTAAACAATAAAACTAGATACTTAAAGTTCTTTTTTGCTGAAAAGTATATATGTTCTTGAAGTCAGACTTTCTTATCTTCTGTGGCATTTTGGTTTGTTTTTGCCTAGTTATGATATTCCCTGATTTTGATTTTTTGTTTTTTTAATTCAGATTACATTAGTCACTTGGACGGAGTATTTGTGTGATTTCTTAGAAATGGTTGATGTTGCTGAGCTATCCACTTACGTATCAACCATTAAGCGGGGTCATTATGGCCTTCTGGATGTTAATGCTAAATTAGGAATTCTACGAGAATTGGTTGCTCAAGCCCTTACTACAGATTTTGTTAGGGAGAAGTTGGATGAGTATATTGAACAGCAGCAAGTACTTGCAGCCAAGAGAAGGGAGGAAGCATTGGAGGAAGGAAGAAAAAAGAGAGAAGATAAAGAACGTCTGAAGGCAGAGTCTGATAGCAAGGAAATCACAAAAGGGCGTAATGTAGAGTCTGCAGGAAGCAGCTTAAATGCACTAGTGAATGGCAATCACAGTAGGGAGAATGGAGATATTGCAGATAAATGGTATGCGAATGCTCTATTTTCTTGAGAAAAACATACGTTGGAGAATATTTTTCAGTGAATATTCTTACCCCCATGAGTTGCATTGGTTTTTAGGCCTTTTTTTTTTAATTATTATTTAATTTTGTATATATTTTAAAAAGTTGACACTCCTACAAAATACAGGAAGCAAGTAGACACCGAGGAGAAAAGGTATGGGAAGCAACAGAAGATGGAAGCTAAAGCTCCAGTAGAAAATACAAAAGATTCAGCTAGGAAGGGAGCTCAAAAAATGACTACTGATGACAGAATGGGTGCAAAGCAAAAAAGGAGTAAAGAACAGAGGGTACTCTTTCTCTTTGTGTTTGTGTGCATGTTTGTGTGGGTAGGGCTGTGTTTATGTATTTATAGACATACATATATAGACATTTATATATGTGTGTGTGTGTGCATAGACTAGGTTGTATGTTCACAAAGATAGACACTTAATCCACCTTTATGAATGCACGTTTTCTATTCATCTGTATTAACACCATGTAAAACACAGAAAGAATATATTGAACGTGAGATGGAGAAAAGATTCATACGCACCAATAGCTTGGGGAAAGACAGATATTATAACAGGTATTGGTTTTTTAAACGTGATGGGAGAATATTTGTTGAGAGTTCAGACTCAGCAGAGTGGGGCTATTACAATACGAAGGAAGAGGTATTGATTCTGCATGTAATAAAAATTACCAAATTATTTGATGTCTTTGTAGTTTTGGTGATTCTTACCTCCCTTTCTTGACAGCTCGACGCCTTTATGGGCTCACTGAACCGAAAAGGTGAGCGAGAGAGGGCACTTAAGAAACAGCTGGACAAGTACTACGATAGAATATGGTGAGTTAATCTAGAACTTGTTCCCAAGAAAATTTTGAATTGCCTTTAGAATATTCTTATCAAGAATTCATATGCTTTAATTTCTTTTGTTTGTTTGCTTGTTGGGAAACAATCCTTTTTCGTTGATGTTGAGTGCAAGTATGTGCTGACACAAAGTATCCCTATTGTTGAAAGGCCGATTAGAAGAACGCTGATTTTTGTCCTTTCTATTTTTGAAGTTAGTTTTTTTCTTATTTTCTATTTCTTGGCTACAGCTGCTGTATCTTTTTAGTCACAGAACACTCCCCCACATGTATTAGTGTATAGACATTCACATATGATTAAATATGTAGTATAATCAATGATGAGTCACTCTTAGCTCCCCTAAGGAATTTGATGCCTACAAGGGATACCCTCTTGTTTGGGGGAAAAAAATGCACATACCTACTTCTTCATAGGTTTTGAAGAATAGCTTCTATGAACGTAGAGTCTCACATTGCTTGAGAGACATTTGAACTTGGGCTAATATAGCTCTGCCCTCCTCTGTAACGTGCTTTTGGCGTGTATGGGTGCACCAGATGACAAATCTGTGCAGGACCATGGTGGGTCCAAAGCAGACAATACTATGCAAATGGGTTTGGGGTATGCTATTCTGTTTAAATTTATTTATTTGAATTTCGCAATTCAAAAGGAAATGGACATATTTTTCCAATAAAATAATTTAAAACACGAGGGTAGCATGGTAACTTCATTTACTCTGATGATGCTGTTTTTGTTTTTATTTTTTATTATTTATTTTTTGGTGAAATGGTAGGAGTAATACCACTTGAAGATTATTCAACCCCCCCCCCCCCCCCCCAAAAAAAAAAAAAAACACTGTGAAAAAAATTTTAAATTTCAAAAAAAAACCCCCCCCCCCCCGGCAAAAAAAAAAAAAAATACCAGTTGAAGATAAGTTGAGAGAGAGCATGCTAAGATGGTTTGGTTATGTATAATGAAGACCTATAGATGTAACGGTAAGAAAGAGAGATGATCATCATAAATGAAAATGTTAGGAGAATGGGAAGACCTAAACTGATATGGGGTGTCGTAGGTAAAAAAGATATGAATCTATTTAATATAATTGAGCATGTAGCCCTTGACATTTTTTTTTTTGATAAGTAAGTCATATTGTAACCTAGAAAGGAAAGATATACAATGAAGTTTAATACACATCTTTTGTAGGGAGCAGAAAATTAAACAAAAACGAACTACTCTCATCAAAAGAAACAAAACTAAGCTTATAGAAGACAAAAACAACATTCACAGCAAAAAGAATTCAAAATTTCCCTCTAGCACTCTTCAAGTTATGAAGTTTCACTCTGAGTTTTCTTCTATTATTCTCCTTTGTAGTCTCTTCATTACTGGGGTTACTTGGAGATGGACTCACTCTAAAAAAAGATTTAGTGGGATACAAGGCTTAGTTTGGTTATCTGTTGTATTTTCTACTCCACATTATATGCAACACCTATTTGGGAGTCTATATCCTGTCGTTATCAAATTATCAGTAGTAAGAATGGTATCTAAATCAGTGGTCCAAACAGATAATGCCACCATTGTTGGCATACCGGATTGTTAAACAATTTTTTTAGGGAAATGGTTCCTCAACTCTTTACCATTCAAGGAATGATAGGATTTTACCAAGAATATCCCCTTACCATGCTTCCATCTCATCTAATTTGTCCCATTTATAAGAACAACGATATCATCTAAGAGCTTATTGCAACCCCAAGGGGTTGGTCTAGTGGTCAAGGTTTGGGATTTGAGGGTGTGCTCCCTTCATGATCTTAGGTTCAAAATCTCCTAGGTGCAAATAATTTCTTGGAGCCAATCCATTCAGGGCTTTGTCTTGTCTTTAATTGGCCCCCCACTAGTGGACGGTGGGATTGGTCCCCTGGGATAGCCAGTCCATTGGACTACATACCAAGTTATCAACAAAAAAGTAAAAATAAAAAAATTTAAGAGCTCAATGCCTTGATCCTCTAATCACATAGAGATCTAATAAAGAGAGGTTCCCATGATCCCAAAATCATGAAGGCCTTGTTTGGTTTGTATCTAGAGATATAATTTTTGAGAAAAAATCTCAAAAATTTGTTTGGTTGAAAATTTTTGAATTTTTTTTTTTCAAAATCACTTCTCTCTCTATTACACGTCAATCAATCATTTTTTTTTCTTCCCTCTCTTTCTCTCACATCCTGCACATCAATCAATCACTTTTTCTCCCACACCCATCTACTGAACTTCAAAAAAAATAAAATAAAATTAAATCATCCCAAACTCCAAAATTATTATCAAAACATACAACCAAATAAAATTTCAAATTTTGTGAACTCTTTCTAGAAAGTTATTTTTCAAAAATTGTTTGACAAATACAAACCAAACATGGCCAAAGTCTCTAGCAATCTGCAACCAAGGCATCCTTATTAGCGGTTGCTATAAAAGGTTTGGAAATGCTGCCAATAAAGGAGTACCCCTGCACCGCACATCATACAAAATTGGATTCTATAGCCGTTTCCTAGTTCAAACTGCATATTTACAAAATTTAACCAACCCATCTCGATTCCTTTCCACTAACCCTTCCCATATGGCTCTCGAACTTCACTTGATGTCCAACCCCTCTAATTCACTTCAAACTTGCTATTATTAATTGACCATTCCTCCGTTTTAGCATATCTACGTAACTTTTTACCCAGTAGGGCTTGATTAAAATGGAGAAAATGATGAATCCCCAAGCCAATATCTTCAATAGGAGTACATATTTTATCTCACCCTCAAAGTAAAATTTAAATTTCTTCCATAAGCCTCGCCACAAAAAAAAAAATTAGCTACATATTTTTTTCCAACCTTTCCTCAACTGAAGTAGGTATGGTAAAGAGAGACTTAAAGTAATTAGGAGAACTAGCTGAAGGACTGTTAATGAGAGTTTGTCTCCTTGAACATATATTGTCTTTTCCATCCCGCAAGGTTCTTTCCGAAACATTTAACAACTTCATCCCAAATTGTTGTGGCCTTGAAAGATGATTCAACAAGAAGCCCCAAGTACACGAATGGAAGATTTCCAACTTTGTAACGCAAAGAATTGACTGGATCTTGCACATTCCAAACCTCTCACTAGAATATGTTCTCTCTTCCTAATTTTGATTTGCACCCAGACGCTGTTTTGAAGTAGATCAGAACATATTGCAAATGCCTCAACTGCTCCACTTCTGCCTCACAAAACACTAAGGTATCACTTGCAAAAAAAAATAAAAAATGAGAATACACCACCGCTTACCTTCCTCTATCACTCACCTTAAAACCTTTTATCACTCTGCCTTGCATTGTTTGTTTGTTTGTTTGTTTGTTTTTTTTTTTTTAGGATCAACAACAAAATTTTATTGATTAATAAAAAAGAAGAAATGAGGATAAGGCATTCTCTACGTAAGAGAAGCAAAAAAAGAAAATACATAACCCAAACAAAGACTACATTACAAATCATACACTGACAACCAATCTCTAGCTTACAAAAACAATGGAATTCCCCTAAAAAGAGGATTCACCAAAGTCCAGAAAGAAGTTAAGTGGCAGACTTTATCCCACAAAAAATCCACATCTCGAGATTTATCTTCGAAAATCCGTACATTCCTTTCTAACCATAAAACCTAGAAAGTTGCAAAGATGGTGCAAAACCAAAGCACTTTGGCTTTCTTTGTGTAGAAATTTAATGTATAAAGAGAAATGATTGTATTATTGATTGATGTATATTATTGTGTTATTTATTACAAATGGTGAGAGGCTCCTTATATAAGAGATATAGTGGAGTAGGTGGTAGTAGGTGGTAGTGGTAGGTGTGTAGTAGGTGGAAGTAGGTGGTGGTAGGTGTAGTAGGTAGAGTAGGTGATGGTAGGTTTTAACAGCCCCCCGCAAACTCAAGGGGGATAGGAACTAACCAACTTGAGTTTGGAGAGAGTAACAAAACAAGAAAATAATCTGAAAAATAAAAAATGGATAGGAGACACTGTATGGTCGTGTCAGACCGTTGTAGAAGACTGTATGGTTATGGCAGACCGATGTAGAAGACACTGGCTCGTGTTGGACCGATGTAGAAGACAGTTTATGGGGTCATGTCGGACCGTTGTAGCAGACAATGTTGTGACAGTTTACGGAGTCTTGCTGGACCCTTGTAGAAACTAACCGGAATCAATGTCGGGACAGTTTACAGAGTCTTGTCAGACCCATAAAGGAGCTAGAGTCTTGTCGGACCCTTGGAAAAGTGGCACCCTCAAAAGGTGTGCCCAATTTTGTCAAAAGGCGTGCCATCAAAAGGCGTGCCCAATTCATCAAAAGGTGTGCCGGACATGATGGCGAGGCACGTGGGCGCCTTGGCTTGCGCGCCCGTTTGTCGTCTGTCGGTAAGAGGCTCGCGATGCGCGTGGCTGCCTCGGCTATAAGACAGAGGCTGAGGCTGAGGCAAAAAACCTGCGAGAGATATTCTGAGAGAGATTTCTGAGAGAGATTCTGTAACACTCTGTTTTCTGAGAGAGATACTGTGTAACACTCTGGTGCCTAGAAAATGGCTTCATCGTCTTCCCGCGGGCTGCTCACCCTCTTTCCCGACCTCAACGAGTCAACGAGAGAGAGAACTGGTGCGGTGGCACTGGAAACTCAACCAAGCGCCCCGGAGTTTGCTCCGTTGAACTTTCCGATGCGGTCGGTGGAGCAAAAAATGGCGGTGCAAACTGATATTGAGGCCAATCAGTATACTCTGAAGTCATGCGTGGAAACCATGACTGCGGTCACAAATTTGTCGCACCGGCTGCAGAGCAGGACAAATGAGGTGCAACAGTTAAACTCCCAGCTGGCTCTGCTCCAACGCATGTATAAGGATGCGCGAGCAGAGATAAGTGTGCTAAAGGCGGAAAATAAGGAGCTGAAGCGGAAGGCCACCGTTATGTTCCGATTTGGAAGGCCGCCATATGCTGCAGTGGAGGAGCAGGGAGTAGTGATCATGCCCAGTGGAGTGGGAAACACTGAGGCAACACCGGCAAGGGCCGCCCAGGACGGAGGCAAGAAGAAAAGACCGGCGGCAGAGTAGAGAAGAAAAAGGGTGGGTGTGTGAGTGATGTTTGTTTGTTTGTTTGTTTGTTTTTTTTTTTTTTTTTTTTTTTTGTGTGTGTGTGTAAAATTGTGACCGGGGTTGATCCCTGAGATGAATAAAATATGGGTTGTTGTGCAAACTCGAATGGGAATATTGCCAGTGGTGTGCCGTGTTGTATTGGAATATTTTTTTTTTTATTTATTTATTTATTATTTTTTATCAATCTTCCCGCCTATGCAAGACAAGTTGATTGAAAGTGGTGGGAAGAAAAAGTGAAAAGAAATGATGGGTGATAAAATAAAATATAAAATCAGTGGGTTGGTGGGTTGGTGGAAGAAAAGTTTAAAAATAAATGTGTGGAAATATTAAAATAAAGGTGGGTGTTTGGTGTTTGGAGCTTTAACAGCCTGTGGATGGTTTAGAGAAGAGAAACCCACCCAACTTCTCTCTCTCGGGTTGGTTCTCCACACACAACACACAGCAGTTCATACACACACACACCACCAACTTCATCTTCGGTAGAATGTCGCTGCCATGGGGCATTTAAGAGGTGGAAGGGATGAAGACAAGGGTTTGAAATTGGAGGGTTTGTGTTGTCCTTGTTCGTCGGATGTGATGAAGATTTGGAGGTCGGAGGCGTGGCGGAGCTCCTGCACATTTGTTATCCCAGCTGAACTCTGATACTGCCTGACTCCAACCTTGCTTCGGTAGAATGTCCCTGCCATGGGGCATTTAAGAGGTGGAAGGGATGAAGACAAGGGTTTGAAATTGGAGGGTTTGTGTTGTCCTTGTTCGTCGGATGTGATGAAGATTTGGAGGTCGGAGGCGTGGCGGAGCTCCTGCACATTTGTTATCCCAGTTGAACTCCGATACTGCCTGACTCCAACCTTGGTTGCTCGCGACATAGTTCAAGTAGCTGCTTTCTCCACTTGGCTTGTATAGCCATGCCGCAGCCCATAACAGCTCATCCTGATAGCCAGAGTAAGAGCAATAGAAAGGGCATGAACCCTGGTAAGACCCTCTATACTTGTCTGCAAACCCAAACAGCTGCATTCAATGTCATCAATGGGGGTTCACATGCTGGCAACAAATTGGCAATGCAGGAGTTTATGATTCTTCCTGTTGGGGCTTCTTTTTTCACAGAAGCCATGAAGATGGGTGTAGAAGTATATCATCACTTGAAGGCGGTGAGGTTTAGGCCGGAAAGCGACTTGGTTTGGCGGCGGCGGAGCTGTGGAGATGGAACTGGAGTAGGAGGAAGAGGAGGAGGAAACGCATTTTTCTGGGTTTCCCTCTCTCTCTCAGCAATGGATTTTAGAGAGAGAAGAAGAAGAGAGTGACTGAGAGAGTTCAGTATGCAGAGGGAAAGTGTGAATTGAAGCTTGAAGAAGAAGGGTTGTTCTTGTGATTGGAAAGAGTGGAACAAACTTGGTGGGTGTGTAGAGGTCCGGCGGGCGGCCAAGGCGAGCTGCCGCCCGCCGGTGAAGCAGGATTACTAGCTTCTTAACCTTGCTCTGATACCATGTAGAAATTTAATGTATAAAGAGAAATGATTGTATTATTGATTGATGTATATTATTGTGTTATTTATTACAAATGGTGAGGGGCTCCTTATATAGGAGATGTAGTGGAGTAGGTGGTAGTAGGTGGTAGTGGTAGGTGTGTAGTAGGTGGAAGTAGGTGGTCGTAGGTGTAGTAGGTGGAGTAGGTGATGGTAGGTTTTAACACTTTGATCCTCCCAAAACGCGAAAATCGATTAGAAGCATATGCGCAATAAAGAGAAATGATTGTATTATTGATTGATGTATATTATTGTGTTATTTATTACAAATGGTGAGGGGCTCCTTATATAGGAGATGTAGTGGAGTAGGTGGTAGTAGGTGGTAGTGGTAGGTGTGTAGTAGGTGGAAGTAGGTGGTGGTAGGTGTAGTAGGTGTAGTAGGTGATGGTAGGTTTTAACACTTTGATCCTCCCAAAACGCGAAAATCAATTAGAAGCATATGCGCACTATCTTTTGGGGCCACTCACATAATGTTCCTCAAAGGAAACAGTCTATGCCATAAATCCAAAGCAACTGGATAGTACAAAAATAAATGATCCAAGGATTCACCATCCTTACAACACATAATGCACCATTGAGGGTTTAGAGAACGATTAGGTCTCTATCATTTGTCAAAATGCCTCCTTGAACCAAAGATCACATGAACACCTTTACCTTAAGAGGGACACAAGCCTTCTAAATTCTTTTACAGAAAGAAAACTGAGAAACTTGAAGATTATCTATAATTTTGTCAAAAAAAGACATGCAAGAAGCGATACCCCAATGAATGAAGAGCCCAAATCCTCTTATCTTAAAGAGGAACCAAGGAGAAATGATCAAGTCTTGACAACAAAGATGTCAACTGTACAGTCTCCCTATCATTGAGATTCCTAGAGAAACTGAAATTCCAATAGATGGGAGCAAAAAATGAACAAGTCATAGAAGCAATAGAGCAATTATGAGATTGAGACACTCGATATAAATGTGGAAAATCAGAGGCAAAGGAGGAGGAGCCCATCCAAAGATCTGCCTAGAATTGAACAAGTTCCTCATTATCCACCCTCACAGAAAGATAATGAGAACAAAAAGGAGATAATGGATCATCCTATATTTGTGAAGTCCCACATTGTGGGTACAAAGGGTATGTGCTGAATAAGCACAAGGGTATCCTCACTTCACATGCTAGCTTTTGGGATTGAGTTCTACCTATAACCTATATAACATGATATTAGTTTGGGGGAGTTCTTGGGTTCAAGTCTCTTCATTTGCTTTCGGGGTTGGGTTCTTGTTTTCTTTTAGCTTCTCTCTCTCTGTCTCTTTGCATCTTCATGTGTAAGACAAGGTTGGATATGAGGGGAGGGTTTTGGATAGCTTGATATAAAATGTTGAGCCCATTTCCTAACAATTTGAGTTTTTGGAACAATTGGTGATCTGACAATCTCAACTTGTTAGAACAAGAGAAGAAGCCTGATGTGGAACCATTGATCAGGACAGATAATTTAACTGAACAAATGCACTAGCTGATCCCATTCATCCGTTACAATCCAAACCTCATTCTCCAACTTGAACAGACCAAATAAACCCCTATTGCCATGATCATATGTTTTTTCAATGTCCGCATCGCAAACCAGGCACCTCATCTCCATTGCAACTTTTCAAAGCCTCCAAGATTTCCTTCTGTGAACCTTCTTTCCAAAGTAAAAATAAAGTCATGTATATTGGATAAATTAAGCTTTCATCTTCCAAAATTAATACATAAATAGATATCAGTTAATAAATAAATCGAACTTTAAACTTTCATCTTACCAAAATAAATACATAAATAGATATCAGTTAATAAATAAATTGAACTTTGTATCAGCATAGGTAGGAGTTTGAGATTCAAATGTTGAAGTTCAAAAGTTTTTTGTTGTGGTGAGTTGCGTGGGTTTGGACTTGTAGGCCTCTTTAAAAAAATAGAGGAGGTATTACTATTATTTTGGGATCAAAAGAACTCATCCTATATCAAGCATGTGTTCAACCCTTGTGAGCATTATATGTCCCTTATCAAGACTCCAAAAGTTGGGCCCTGGGTATGTGTGTGCGTGTTTGGACATACGGAGTAGGGGTCCTTGTGATAAAAATTTGGTGAAGCTCTATTGAAAATGAGGGACCTGTGCACCAAACTTACTGGTGGATTTCTCCAAGTAGTGACCTTCTCTTCCGAAGGAGCAGATACACTTGGATTTCTCCAAGTAGTGACCACCTCTTCTGAAAGCTGGACGATACAAACTATTCTACTTTCTGGTATTATCTGCTGCTGTTAATCTAAATGAGAAATTTGAGTTTTTGGTTAATTAGTTGGTATTCAATGGTGAATCTTTGGATTTTGCAATTTGAAGCTAGACTTGTTCTAGGACTTGGTTTAAATGTGAGGTTCTGACACTAATGTAATTCTTTTTACTTGTGCTGCTGTCTCATGATGAATTTATTTAATTCATGCCACTCAAATGGATTTTTACAGCTTGAAATTGCACAAGAGATCGAAGGAGGTAGCTCGAGAGATTGCAATGGATGAGGCTGTTCTTCGGAGGTCAACTCGTGTTCGTGCCCCGCCTAGGGACAACCCTGCTGTTGCTTTCCTTAGGTACGTTAACAAGTGGAAGGAAGACTAAGACTAATTGCTCTTCATTATAATCTCAAAAGTGGTGTTTTATATTGGCTGCAATTTAACTATTACTGGGATATAGGAGAAAAGATTTTTTTTTTAATTATTTTGGAGCAATTGAAGAGCCTGTTCATTATTTCTTTAGTCGAATACCCGGGTGGATAGAGGGGCCATGGTGGGGTGGAGCCCAATTTTTTGGTTTTTTTCCCAGCCCCCCTAATGACAATCGTCGCGTGTAATTGTGATTGAGGCTCGAATTTTGTAAGTGACCTAGTTCGGCATTAGAAAAATAGACTGGCATATAGTTGCCGAATTTTGTTCCATATGCTATATTTTTTACATTTTCATATTATACAGATTTATTTGTTCAATTTGGATGCAAAGAGCACAGAAAAACAGATCCAATGTTTTGTAAGTTGCCAACATTTGTTTCTCGTGCTAGCAACTTCTCAGGCCAACCAAACCAAGTGGGTTTTTTGTTGCATGAGAAGAGCTGCCGGTTGGTGGATTTAATCCGGTCCTAACATCAAGATGGGACCTTTTAGTCTGGTGGTTTAAGCCGGCTACAAGATAATTTGGTTGGTCATTTTTTGGATAATTGTGTCGATCATATAGGTAAAGAATTAAATTGATTTAAGGGAGTGTCGGTGAGCGGTAGGGATGGCCACGGGATGGGTTTGCCATTCCCTGCCCCCGCCGACCAGACCCCGTTGTCGGGTGATCAAAATATAATCTATCCCTGTCCTACATAAGTGTCAGGGTGGGTAAAATCCGCCTCATTCAGGTGGATATGGACGGATCCTGTGAATTGGATTAAAATGGCTATCCTAGTGAGCGGTGTCTCGATCTCAAGTTTCCATGCATAAAGGACTCGGTTTAAAAGTTTTCCTTTGAGCATTTTCCTCTGAGCGAAGGTCAATGTATAAGAAAAATGCCCCTGTGAAATTATAAAAGTTTTTCTTCTAACTAGTCACCACAACCCTCAGGCAATACCTGCCTCTTTTGGTGACCTATTTCAAATCACACCATCATCACCTAGCAAACAATAAAAAAATTCTAAAGTTACCATTTTGTACGTAGTATAGTTATGCTTTGACAATAAAATTTTGCTATTTGAATTTAATTCAACATTTAAACAGTAAAGTTCTACCATCACCGGTATTAAATGAATAACGAGTACAATTTTACAAAAGCAGCCTATTTTTTTGGTGGAAAGTAATATGAGCAAAATCAAGGGAATACAATTATCAAATCAATTTTATTATATATATATAAACGTAGGTTTTGAACGGAACATATCATTGGAACGGGCCTTGTGTTGGGTCCATTGGGATAGACTGGATTTGTTGGATCCAGTTATGAAAAGCCCATTTTTACCCAAAATTGAAGTCAGAATTTGAGATTGTCCTGTAAGTGCTTATTCAATTTACCCAAAATTGAAGTCAGAATTTGAGATTGTCCTGTAAGTGCTTATTCAATTAATAATAATAATAATAATTTAATTAATTAATTATTTTTTGCTTTTATGACATTGGACTGCAGATTTGTATCTATCAATTAAGGAAGGATACTTAAAGCGGAGATGTTTCTTATGGTTGTAGAATTTCAAAAGCTGGAAATTTAATGTCTTCACAAGCATAATTTGAAAATTTAACAAAATTTGAAAAGTTTGAATAAGATAAAAATAAGTCAATATTTGCCACGGGAATTGCCACGTTTTCGTTTTATTTGGATTTTTAAAAAAAAAAATATTTGATTGATTTATTTATTTGATTTTTGTGTTCTTCAACATTAGATGAACTTGAAATTCAAAAAAATAATCAAATTTTAAAAAATCCCAATAAGAAAGCACTCTATTTAAAAATATATAATAAATCTTACAAATTTGATATAATTACACGGACATATTTTTTTAGTAAGGTTCAAGTTATTAAAATTAATGCCGATAATGTGTAGATACAAGGCTAAATAATGACAAAATATATATTTCATGTGAAAAAGATGATAAAGTTATTTTTTTAAATCATATAACTAACAAAATAATGATCAAAATGGGACAAAATGTTTTGTGAATTAAACTTTAAACGAACTAAGTATAATTATATCAAACTTGTAAAACTTGATTTATTTTCTCAAACTCTTAAGAAAAGTTGGTGCAATTTATAATATATAAATATAAAAAAGTATATATATTTTAATATTTCATGGTCAGTAGCTTCACTCGTTGAAAACACTAACCTAAATTTATATGTAGAGGGTCTTCCAAACTTGTGAGCTTACAATAACAAAAAAATGGGTTATGATTGGATCAAAGGTTAATTGTGGGATGTGATGTGAGAATTTGTGTCTTTCGGTTTGGGGTTGCACCAACCAAACTCCTTCCAGTGCAAATAATATATATATATATATATATAAATCTACTCACATTCCATAGATTCACTACTTGGTTTTAGAATCCAATAACTAATATTTCAATTTTATTTCATAATAAGGTTCAACATATCATTATTAAAAAATTAGACGTAAAATACAAGATGCGAAGAGGTGAAGCACACGCCTTGCGTAATGGTAGTGCTTGTCTCTTCATTATATCCAATTGGTTCAATTAGTATGTCCATCGAGCTCAAAATACATGAACGACATTTAAATAATTGGGCACTGAGATTAGAAATCTATTTATGAAATTATTGGATTAACAGGGTTAAGTTTAAATGTTTTTGAATTAAAATGATACTTATTTGTTCAAAGTTTAGCTATTTGTTGATCTATTCAAATGTCACTTATCTATTCAAAAGTTACTTATCTGTACATGTGTTACTTATTTGTTCAAATGTCTATACGTGCTATCTGTCTATTCACCTATCTGTTCAATGTCGCATATCTCACCACCACCAATCTCCACCACGACCAACTTTTCAACGTGTGTCTTTATCATAAAAAAAGATTAAACTTTGGACTAAATAACATATGATCCTATAGGAATAGCCTTTTTACCAATTAATCCAAAACAATTTACAGTTGAAATAAATAAATGAATAAATAAATAAAATAAAATGTGATTGAGATTAGATCATTACGAGTGGTGAGTCACTTATACTACCATGATCTCGAGAGGGATAGATGAGAGGGGCTAGGGTTCCGCAAATTGAAGAGGTGAGGTGGAGACATCGAGGTGGTGGTGAGTGAATAAGACAGTAGCATCGGCTTCTTCTTGAGTGAAGTTTTCTTTCGCCTCCTATGGATTATTAGAATTCATGCACGATAATTATCTAATATATATTAAATAGTTATTCACCATCGTATAGATTATTATATTAAATAGTTATTCACCATCGTATAGATTATTATTGTGATAATTTTATTCATAGTTTCCATTTAGAGGTGTAAAAAAAGATGAAATGCTAAGAATAAAGATATATTTAATATTATAAAAAAATATAATAAAATCAAATATAAATTTCAAATTTCAGCATCCTAAACAAAAATGACTCCTTCCTATAAATATATATGAGATCACAAAAACTTACAATAAATAAATTCAGTATACTTGGCGATAATAAAGATATTAATATAATAAAATCAAATATAAATTTTAAATTGTGAAAAAGGTGTAATGAATAAATGTACACGGTGTTTGATACCCCCACAAAAGAATATTTCTATGGCCATTACTGATATATTGACTTGTGTTTGAATTTTTTTTTTTTTTTTGAAAAAATTGTATCTGATAATAACATAAATAATTCAGATCAATTATAAAATTATGTTTTAAGAAATCTCTATCATTCCTACAGTATAAATAGAATGACCACAATAATAACCCATCCTATGGGTAATAAAAAAATAAAAGGGCAAAAAAGTAACTCCAACACCAACATGAAAAGTAGAGCTACCTACCAAATCCAGCACTAACTTAATTGCAACCACTCTCTCTCTCTCTCTCTCTCTCTCTCTCTCTCTCTCTCTTATTTATTTTTCTCACCAACTTGGTCAAACCACCACCCTCACCCCTCAACCCCACCACTCCCCTCCATTCTTTACTGAGGTCCCGAGTCAATTGCCCTCCTCCCCCCTTCTATTTAAATACTCTCCCCTCCTTTTTGTCCTCAATTCCTCTCTCTCTCTCTCTCTCTCTCTCATTCTTCCAAGTTCCATGGGCAGATCTCCTTGCTGTGAGAAAGAACACACAAACAAAGGAGCATGGACCAAAGAAGAAGATGAACGCCTCATCAACTACATCAAAGCTCATGGTGAAGGCTGCTGGAGATCTCTCCCCAAAGCTGCTGGTTTGCATAGATGTGGAAAGAGTTGTAGACTCCGATGGATAAACTACCTTCGACCTGATCTAAAGAGAGGAAACTTCACTCAAGAAGAAGATGAACTCATCATTCACCTCCATGGCTTGATTAGCTGGACACGTTTTCCCAGGCAGTCCTTCCTCGGCCGTGGTGTTCCGGCTGAGTCACTAGACGACCATCGACGAGCTCTGAGCTACGGCTTCCTCCTGGGCGTCGAAGGCGGCTCGTCAAGCCCAATCCCCCCCCCCTCTCTCTCTCTCTCTTAAATTATAGAGTTTTTATTTTTTTGTGAGAAAGTATTCGGGATTTTGTTCTGACTAATTTTCATATATATTGAGTAATTATCGAGCATAAAATGGAGTGTTTGATTTTATTTTTTTTATAATTTTATTTATTATAATAGGTTTGCATAGATGTGGAAAGAGTTGTAGACTCCGATGGATAAACTACCTTCGACCTGATCTAAAGAGAGGAAACTTCACTCAAGAAGAAGATGAACTCATCATTCACCTCCATGGCTTGATTGGAAATAAGTATTCCCCTCTCTCTGTCTCTCTCTCACTCGCTCCACATTTTTATTTTCTTAGATGTCATATGTTATGGTATTGAGAAAGAGTCTAGTCAGATGGAGTAATAGCAGTTCAAAGGGTTTTTTTTTTTAGACTCTAGATTATATATCAAGATGAGCTAAAAACTATGGTTGTGGGCTTGTGGTTCTCCGTTTTGCTAGGTCTGTTTAGACCCCTCCTGTCTCACTCCTTGTTAGTAGGAGATCCTTTGATCGCGATTATTAAGAATTGTTGTGGTTGGCCGTCTCTTATTCCGTTATTCAACAATTTTTTTTTTTGTTTTTTTTTGGTTCTTAAAATCAATTATTACTATTGCAGATGGTCCCTTATTGCAGCGCGAATGCCAGGAAGAACAGACAATGAGATCAAGAACTACTGGAACACTCACATCAAAAGGAAGCTCCTCATCCGTGGCATCGACCCCCAAACTCACCGCCCGCTCAACCACACACCTACAACCACCACCACCACCACCACAAATTACATCATCAACACCACCACCATCACCGCCACCGCCACGAAATCTCCACACCAACCATCACTTAATTCCATGCCATTGACAATACCACTCCTTGACAACCAGAATGGTTCAATTGACGACGCCAGCAGCAGCAGCAGCAGCAGTATGATTAATGAACAGCAACAAGAAGTAGTACACAAAGAACTCGACCTCGAGCTCTCTATAAGTCTCCCAAATCCACCTCATCATCATCATCATCATCATCACGCCTATTCTTCTTCTTCTTCTTTCACCATCGTCAATTCAAATGAATCGAAACACCAGAAACAACAACAACAACAACAACAACAACAACAACAACAACAGCTCGCTTATGAGCGGCTCTTCGGGGCATCATCATTGGCGATTACTAGATCATCTATCCATGAAAACAAAGTTGGTTTCAAAGAGTTCCCGGAGATATTACATGCCTTTGGACTTGTAACTCCTAGAAAATAATAGTTGGTTCTTTAATTAGGTCATGTTCAAGCTTTCTCACCCTCCCTCTTCTTCATACATGTATCTTGCTCTCTAGAAGTACTGAAATGAATCCAACTACTAACAAAATAGTTGTTAATTCAAGCACGGAAATCATATGTTATGGTATTGAGAAAGAGTCTAGTTACGGACACACCATTTTCTAACACATGTTCACAATAAGTGGGCGGAGTGAGCTCACTAGGTTGATAAGTTGTGCCACAAAAAATGATATAATTTTATTTCTTTTCATTAAAGAATACAATTTTTTTATAAGCAAGAAAACATACGCACAATTAGTCCCTTATTGAATGGGGTTTGAGAGGGGTAAATTTGCATCAAATGGTATCTCCTGGAAATAAAATGTTTATGTATTCGAGTGCTACAACTCTTAGAAGTTTAAGACTGTTTTCGAATTATGGATTAATGTTAAGAATAAAGAAAAGGGATGAGAAAAAGATAAGATGGTAATATAGTCAACATGGTTTTTTTGTCTTTAAATTGATGTCTCTCTATTTCAAGATTATTTGAATTATACATGCAGATTTTTGTATTTCAAAATTTTCACATGTTACAATATAGTTTGAATTATGCATTGTAATTTTTATACATTGATGGCATGTTTGATTGGGTGGATTAGAGCATGGGATTGAGATTATTAATTCGTGGGTCCAATTATCCTATGTTTGTTTTAATATTTTGGTTTAGGATTATTAATCCAATGAATAATTAATTCAATAAATTTGTAAGATTATTAGTAATGAGGTAGGGATGGGATTATTAATCCAATAGATATTAATCCAATTGGATAATGAATACCACACTAATTTAATAGGATTATTAATACTTCACTATTAGTCTTGTGAATCAAACATGACCTGAGATTCTTAACAAGAGGGACTACTTCAAATAGGAGAACAAAGAGATTTTTGAAGACAAAGAATCGTTAACCTAACAAGTTAATGGGTTGTAGTGCTTTCATAAATTCCAAACCAAGCTGCTCAATCCACTGAATTATGACCCAACTTGAGAGACCTCAATTATCTCTTGACACCACAAAACAAAATGGACAAAAGGAAACACTAATGTCAAAGCTAAAAACGTTACTTCCACGGCTCACCTAATCCATATTTTCAAAAGAGTATATAATAATATTTTGAACCACAACAACTTTCACTTTGGCCTTCTTCCTTAAATGCCAGACTTGCACTCAACACAACAAATCTTATTGACAAAGATATACAAATATACAAATATTCAAATCTCATAAATTATTTTTATTAATAGATGTGATAGTATTTTAGTATTACACATCACATCTCCTAGTAAAAATAATTTCAAATTTAGATGTCTATAGGGTTAATTTCACTTTTATAACCTAAATTATCACTATTGTTTTGTTTAGTTCCCATTCTATAAATTTATTTATTTAGGGGTCTTTTGAGAAGTCAAAAAAAGTCAAATTTTAGCTTTTTATTGATTTTGGATCACATCACTTCTCACATTTTTTATTCACAAAAAGAAAAAATAGACTAAAAAAATCTAAAAAATTAATTTTTTACCAACTTCTCAAAACACCACTTAGTTCCTAAAATTCATGTGGTCCAATATTATTGTTGATAGTGTACAAATCAATAATAATTGAAATTTGATTTGATGGGCAAAAAACTTATTTAAAAAAAATAAAATTGAACAACTTATAACCAAATTATTTAGGTAATCGGTTACTGATTATTCACATGAATTGTTCGCCTCATATATTTCAGTCATGTTTAAAATTTCAAAGTTTATCCTTGCATATGCCACATTTGCTAATTTATATGATATTTTTTTCTTAAATTTTTGAGTTATGAATCAATTAAAAATAATAATATTATACAATTTTTTTTTTCTTCTTATTTTCATGAGTTATCTCTATTATATCATTTAGGGTAAATTATACTAATACTCCCTGAAATTTCTATTTAATATAGATCACCCCTCACATTCGAAAAATTACATATTCCCCTCCCTAAAGTATGTAATCTAGTTACAAATTGCCTCCTAAATTGCTAATGTCATGTCCTAAATTTTTTTAAATGACTATCTCGCCATTTTTTTCTATCTTTCTTATTTCTATCATTATGATTACATTCTACAACTTTTCATCATTAAATTCTATCTGAACATATTCTTACTGAGTGATGATATACAAACATACATTTTTTATAAAATTTTCAAAAATACAATGATATAGCTTAATGATAACCTTTCACTTTAAAACAAAACATCCATATATAAATATGATTTATATTTTTAACAATATCACTATCACAATATTTTTATAATATTTTTTGTATAAATTTTTATATATGAATATAATTTTTCATTTTTATTTTCACCATTATATCTAGATTAAATACTAAATATACAATTTTTTTTTAAAAATCCATTGAATACAACGAAATAAGATAATATATGAAATTTTTGCATTTTTGTATTTTTTTTTTTGGTATTTGTTGGATTTAAATAATACAAAATATTATAGTTTTTAAGTATATCTAGATTAGGTGTATCTAAAAAATAAAAAAATTACTTAAAATATTTTTAAAAATTTATTAAAAATAAAAAACATGAAAAATAAAAATATTAAAATTTTTGTTTGAGTTAAACTAAAGAAAATGATTGTTATTTTCCTTGAAATTATATGAATAAAATATTTATATTATTTTATTATTTTATATGTATAAAGATTAAGGGATAAATATGTCATTTTAATTTGACAGGGGAGTAAGTGTAACTTTTCAAATGTGAGGAGGGATAAATGTAATTTTTTAAATATGAAGAGGAGATTTGTATTAAGAAGTCTAAAGGGATATTTGTGTAATTTATTCTATCATTTTAAATGCATTTTATTTCATATTTCAAAATATTTTAAAAAAAGTATTTATAAAGTGTATTAATTAATTTACGATAGAGGAGAGAGCACAAGTGCATGAGAGTTGGTACTGGTAGGTGGGAGATGACGTCATGGAGCCAACTATCAGCTGGCCTACTCCATAAATTGCTTTATAAATTTATGGTTCTGAAAGCGATGGGCTCTCTATCTCTCTCTCTCACATATGTAACAAATTGATTGATAAATTTAATTTAATTTATGAAAAATATCATAATAATGTAGCAACAAAGTAAGATTTATATAATTAAATGTATAATAAATCAAAATTTGATACATATTATGTTAGAGTCAAATTAAGGGAGCTTTCTTAAAATTCATAAATATTTTTCTACTTATTCGAATTCTGTTAATGACAGTTCTAAACACTATCAATAAAAACATAATGTCAAAATATTTATAATATCAATACACTTTTTATATTTTTTTTATACATTTTTAACATTAACATTAGCTCTAAGAATTATTTTTAATATTTTTCAATTTAAATTAATGAATGATTTGTTTTTTTTAGAACTTCTAGAAGGCCGGACAAGTAGACAAATCAAAACTCCTTCCTCCCCACCTAACTTATTTGTTTCATCTCCTATCATCTTAACGACTTTATGAGAGAGAAAACCCCCCCAAACAAAGTTGATGGGTTTTCTTTGGTCATTTGAAAGTGACCTAATATTGCACCAAAACAAGTGACCTAATGTTAACTCATTATAATAATTGAAGCCTCCCATCAATAGCCACCCTAGAATATTTTATGAAAATAATTTTTGGATCTTTGTTTAAGAATGTATTGATTGAGTAAAAATTTTTAGGTTAAATTTTATTTTGCACCTACTTTACTTTACACCCAATTTTATTTTACTTCCTAACTTTTTCAATTATCTAAGTCAACTTCTTAGATTTTGAATTGAATTACAATTGAGTCTAATCTTATAATGTTATAGTGAAAATTGATGGAAGGATTAAATTGAAAAACTTAAAATGAAATTTTAATAAAAAAATATATATATATTAAAGACTAAAACGAAATTATTGTAAAAGTACATGGGAACTAAGTACAATTACTATTATCATGTGATTATTTTCTTTTAGTTTTCGAAACAGTTCTACAGAAATGGGCCTAGTCACAACCTCATTCTAATTTTAGGAAGTTTATTAGAATCATTAAAAGGTAGAGAGGTAAAATGACATTTATCCAAAATTTTAGTAGGAAAGCTTTTAAATGCCCTCTAATTTTATTATTTTTTTGGATCCCTACCATTTAATTGTAAAGGTTCTATGCACGTCACATATAATACCAAAACTAACCTCCATCTTTTTAAAAGAGTTGTGCTGCATGCCTTGAATATAGAGGCGCGAATTTGCCTTGAATTTGTTTAATTGGTCGTTCGAATGACAGTTTATCCCCGGTGAATGGAGCAAACTAGTCCAAGCTCCTCAAGCCCAAGCCCAAATGATCGAGCCCACCGGATACCCTGCAAACAAGTTCAACGGGGAACGGGGTAGTCCCCCAGTGAACCCTCCGACGATCAAGTTAGGAAGAGAAGTAGAGTATATAGGAGGAGATTAGAGATAGAAAACTTAACATTTTTCTTGTCTACAACGTTCGCTTATATCATTTGGCAATCATTTCGTTGTCCCTTCCGAACTGCTCTCCTTGCCGAAAGCCTATGCTGTAGCTTACCTTGCTCAGGGTAAGGGGGTCTTGTTTTGGCGGAGAGGTGTTGTCGTAATAAATGCTGTGATGGGCTGCATTAATGGTGATGTGCAGTGGCAATAACTTTGCAGATCTTTGTCTGCTGATGTGGTTCGTCATTCTCCTGCCGTGTGTCTGAATGTCATTGGCTCTTCATGCCATGTTGGACTCTAGCTGTCCTGGACCTCGTCAGCTGGGTTATGCACTGGGCTTCAAGTGATGGGCCATAGGTGATTCATGGCCTTTATGGGCTTATACATGTCAGTAGTCCCCCATTCCCGAGTGCAGCTTCAGTCCAACGAAGGGAATATTAGTGACATAGATGAGTGTGTTAGGGATTGGCAGGATGGAGGTTGACCGGAAGGGTGATCGAGGGGGGGACCGACCGCTATCGTTGGCCGAGCGGGAGGGCCGACCACAAGGAGGGCCGATCGCGGTGTTGGCCGAGTGGGAGGGGCGACCGCCGCATTTGGCTGAGCGGGAGGGCTGACCATGAGGAGGGCCGACCG